TAATGAACCCCATCCTAAATAGACCATATGATCATAAACTAATCTTTACCCATTTTTCCTTGAGAATAAGATTTTTGTTTGCGTTTTATTCATATTCATGTGTCTTCTGGTGTGCAACCATTAAACAAAGAAACCATACTCTAGGGAATAACACATGGTCTAAAATGGGTTAACATTATGCCCAAGCTAATTTGGTCTATCCCCCAACATTAAACCCCACAGATATGAAAACACTGAATATGATTTTATTTCTCACCTTTGCACTAAGAAGTACAAACGACCTCTGAGGCAATGCATGCTGCTTCACCACGATTGGTGGTTCAGGCCACTTCTCAAAGAGTACGGGACAAGGACTGATTAAATTAGCAGCAAAATCAGGCACCTCACTTACAGCCCAAGTGCGACCATCAAGTGGAAGAGTAACCTTAATAAATAATAATAATTATTATTAACAAGCTATAGATATTAATATAGACCTCATTAAAGTACTGCAATAGCAGAGTTATTTAGTCCAGACTATACATGTACCTGCATTTCTTTGAGAGGAGTTTGGAAGGGAAACGGGTTGGCACTTGTTACCCATAATACATCAGTGTCTTCTGTCCGTGATGATGCAAGTAAGCTTATACCTTTAATTATGAAAATAATGGATTAAGAATGGGGTTTGTTTCAATATTAAAACTAAAAATGCAAAACTAAAATAGAGTCAACTCTTTCAAGTTTTACCTACCTTGTCTGTAGAATGAAGCATGAACATTTGTAGGACGGACTGAAGCAGCAGATGGTGCAAAACCTGGAGGCATTCTGACATGGACAAGATTCAGTCTGTTTGGTCTTTCTAGTGGGTTTCTGAATGGCATGGTACTAAAGTACAATCTGACACCTGGATGTGCAAAGCAGGTATAATAACAGCACTTTATCATTATTATAATCACCACTAATTCCTTTCTAACAACATCATCACCCGCATCAACCAGAACTTCTATCAATGATATCATCACCACATCATAAACTTCAACATCACCATCATCATCACCATCACCATCACCATCTTCATAACCATCACAATCACCATCTTCATCACCATCACCATCTTCATCACCATCACCATCACCATCACCATCATCATCACAATCACCATCTTCATCACCATCACCATCACCATCACCATCACCATCTTCATCATCATCATCATCACCATCTCCATCACCATAATCATCATCACCATCATATCATTTCATCATCTTCATCATCATCACCATTATCACAGTATCATCTTCATCACAATCATCATCACCATCATTTTATCATCATCATTCATCATCATAACATTATTATCATATCATCAACAGTGACATATAATATGCAAGAGGAATCTTACCAGCGTGTGTGACACCCACAAGATGAAGATGGTCTGACTCATTTCTAGACACTGGTGCAATATGTACAATGGGTTTGAAGTTACTGTAGTCTGACGTCCTACAAAATAAAGGATTACGCTGTAAATCTAAGAGTCTTAACTTCCAACTTACCCACCTACCACATACCTTGTGGCAACAGCGGCCTTGTGTGATATGGTTTCTTGGTTCAAACTGGCCACATATCTTGTTTCTTTGCCGTTCGAACCAAGATCATAAACCTGTATGGTTCCCTTCTCAGATCTTGTGTACAATATATTCCTTGTGTTATCGACAGCCAACTGACATAAGGCATCTGAAAAATAGACAATAATAATTGTTGATAGTGCAAATCTTGTAATTCTATTTCATCAAGCAAGAAAACCGAATGGGAAACAATGTTGAAAATCAAAGGAGTACCTTCACCAGAGACATTCAAGAAAGACGGAACCAAAAATGATAAAGTACTTGAAGAATGATTGATTTTACGGCATTTTCGTTGAAACCAGCTGTCTTCGGCCTAGGAAAACACATTGTAGGAGCATCATGGGACAGATTATGGGTACATTTTAATATTAGATGATTTTTTGTAGGGTTTGAGGAATCAAAAAAATCATGAAGTTTGATGGTTGCTATGGTGTTACCTGGTAAGCTATTTCATACAGACAGCCATCTTTACCACCAGCAAATACCCTGCCATAAAATGTGCCAGTGACGCAGGTCATGTAGACATTATCAGAGGGAATTGAAAACAGAGGATCTGGTTGCAGGTGCATTTCAGCGAAACCATCATCTGGTAAACCACCTGATTACAAATGGGAAGGAACATTATAATGTATTCTGATAACTTATAAAAGAGATTGCTGAAGCACACTCCTTCTCCCAGGGATCAATATAATGGCAGGGTAATGAACAACGTTAACGGAGGCAGCATGGTTGAGTGGTCATAGCGTCAACCTCGCAATCCTGTGGTGCCGGGTTCAAGTCCTGCTATGGCCAATAGCTGAGACTGTATTTGTCCTGATTTCTGATTGGTTCAGATTCAGTTTCTCGACCATGCCAACTGGTTTGCCTCCTTGCCAGTTGGGATTCTTATTACTATTTATGTTTCTTTGATCATTTCATTTCAGTAATGTATGTCACCCTCATTAAATAAAGTCAATTTAAGTCAGTTTCTCGACCATGCCAACTGGTTTGCCTCCTTGCCAGTTGGGATTCTTATTACTATTTATGTTTCTTTGATCATTTCATTTCAGTAATGTATGTCACCCTCGTTAAATAAAGTCAATTTATTTTTTATTGTCAGGCAAAAATTGTCACTTGTACAGCCAAAAATCTCTTAGGCCAGTCCTCTTGACCAATCACACTGGCTCAGTGGTAACATGTCAATCAGTCAAACTTAGCCAGTCATCAACTACGACCATTGAGCAGTTTTTATTTTTAGCCCTGTCATCTTATTCTCAAAACCAATTTTTGATACAGGCACATCAATTCCCATTTTCCCATTTTTTAGTTGTTGTCTCACGTACCTCTGGATTTAGGTGTGAATGTAACAGCAAGAAGAACAATGTCAACAGGTGTTGTCAAACACAAGATGTACTTTACTGACTCTGCTAGTATCTCTGAAGAGAAAAACCTCTCGTTATAGAAGTTATGATAAATGACAAGTAAATATTGAATAAATAAATGTTTAACAGATAATCATTATACAAAATACTATTACCTGGTTTGGGTTTGGTCAGTCCAGCACACAGAATAGTCTCACTAAGACCATCAAAATATGCTAAATCACTCCTGAAATATACATTCATATGTTAGACATATTGAGTGCCTTTATTATTCAAAACATCTTAAATGAATATAGTAAGAGTTTTCTATTGTCGGGGAATTGAACTCTATTTTTATGCAAATACTATCCAGAACGTTACTATTGTTTGGTACACCAATATGGCTGCCTTCTACCATGAGTGAAAGCGCTGTATAGCAACATAAGAAAGCCCACCAACTTATCATTCACTGTATATAATTGTTGATTTAAAAATACAAATAAGATAATGCATTAAAAATTGATATTTACCCATCTTCATAGTTCCAAACAAAGATATCACTATCTATAGTCAGCCAAGCTCGGCGTATCTCAGGAAACAATCCCATCATGCAGTTGCACTGCATGTCTGATGCATTATTAAGGATCACTGCAATAATAACTGTGTATATGTCACCCCTACGTAGGGGGAGGGGGGAGGGGGAAGGGAGGGAGGAGGGAGGGGGAATGGAATTTGCAAAGGCTAAGAAGCATCAAGTATATTATGTTTATACCGGAAAATATCCACACCTTTCTCCATGGAGGAGGATTGGAATTTTCAGGGGGAGAGGAGGGTCTGAGAAGAGTTCCGTATATTGTGTAGTTCCAAAAAATATCCTATTCCTTCTCCATGGATTGGAAATATTATGTCCAAGACTTTCTTGGGAATAGGAGTACTTAGAGTACTTCAATCTCTCTTCATTAGGAAGGAATCACATTTGAAATAAGCTAAGGATACGGTCAAACTGTTCCACGAGCTCTGCAGGAAGTGGAATTCTTTTGATTGTACTAAGGAGCTCCATACCCGCCAGGCCAACAGATGGTGAGGACAGAGAAGGATAGTCATAGTCATTGACTCCACTGAACGACACGCCACCTATATGTAACACAATACAACACAATCTTAGAACATATAGATCATTGACTCTACTGACGGACACACCACCTATATGTAACACAATACAACANAACATATAGATCATTGACTCTACTGACGGACACACCACCTATATGTAACACAATACAACACAATCTTAGAACATATAGATCATTGACTCTACTGATGGACACACCACCTATACATAACACAATACAATACAATCTTAGAACATATAGATCATGGACTACTTATAAATGTAGGATTTATTAATTATTATACTGTACACGATTCCCAGCCTATCTTTTGTTAATCAACCAGAAAAATTTGATGAAATATGAACAAACTTAGTTACAAAGTACAAAAATTTCAACACAGAACTACTGTACACAGATGTATGGACTGCCTGTCTTTCTTGCGTGTTCTTGGCAATAAATATTGTTAATTAACGATGCAATAAACCCTATTATGTTCAATATATCACGTAATTCTGATAGATAATCCAATGAATTCTTCTTACCACCAGAAGATATCCTCAGTTGTTCTGCAAGATCAGGATACTGTCGATCAGCTTGAAGTTGACGATCTACCTCTTTTGCCGCATTCTCAAGCGATTCTACGGCTATACTGGGACTAATAGAGCTATTCCCTGACACAGCAGGCATCGTTGGGGTATTTATTTTACAAAGTCTTAATAAAAAAGCCCAAATTTAAGACATCTTTTTTCTGACTTTTCCTTTCCACATGGACACCATGTCTGATATTCGAATGAGGCGCGATCAATAGTGCGCAGACTCGGAAACTAAGACACAGGAGGCCCAATCAAAAAATTAATCGCTATGAGAAAAATAGGAAAAATAGGCGGGGGAAACAATTTATTAAAATAGTCGGGAAGTCGAAACTATATATGATATGTTTATCTCTAACAAGGCAAAATATTACCTCCTAGAAATACAGCACGTTTTCCTGTAATCACGTCCTTTCAAGAAAAATATATGAATCATGGAAAATGCGGAGATAAATTGGTTTTCGCGGATTTATCTTTATGAAAGACATCAATGAAATGATACGTGATATTCCCCCTAAAAAACTAGTATTAGTTTAAAGATTATTTAAGCTAATGATAAAAACCCATTAAGACAGATTATGAGGAAAAGGGATTTTTCTTTTCCGACTTTCGGGTAGGAAGTGATAGTGTTAAAGATAAAGATGACCCTCTATTTTTAAAATTGACTGCTGAGCGTAGTATATCTCTTAATTGACACTAAATACCAACGTAAGCCCGAACGTAATTATCGAAATTAAATCCAAGTGTTGGCTTCCGAAATCGTGACGATGTTTTGCCGAAGGTGATCGGAAAACATCACGAACATCCAAACATGACGTCATCGATAATAGAGCAGGCTTTTGACATTTTGTTTTGGTGCGAATAATTTTTCTATTCTTCAAATTTTGTAGGAAAATAAACGATCTTCAAGCCGCTCTCTAGGTCTTTTTGGAATTTTTCTCCTTTCCCAACATGGGAAATTGTTTAAAGAGATCGGAACAGGACGATATTTCCTTGTTACATGAGGATGAAAGCGCAGATTCCCCAACAAGAGGAGAACCACCGCCACCATATCAAGTACGACTACTGATCACCTCGACAAACAACTGCTTTCTTTTGTCTCAATTTAACAGATTTTTTCACCATTCTTTCGCTAGGAAGAGTCTCCAATTTACATACAAAGTCAGCACGCTCCACATCTATTATCAGAAGAACAGCAAATTCGTCTAGCTCAACGTTTAGGACTGATTCAACATTTACCAGTAGGAGTATATGATGGATCGAAAGGAAAAAAGAGAGAGTAAGTTGGAGATAATTTAAGTCTTAATCACTTTCCCTTTATTTAAATATTAGAGATCGGAAGTGTCCAAAGACACGAGAAGATAAAGCTACAAAACCTACGGATTTTCCTGCCTTTAGACCATGAATTTTGAGGAAATGTATGTTGCTGAAATAATTCATTAAATCGTTGAAAATGTATGATCGAATAAGAAATGTGCGAAAAGATAATCCTTTTAAGACTTTTGTTTCGTTCTTAACATTTCTAGACTTTATTTTACCAAGGTCCAAGTTTAATATTATCGAATTTTTATTTTTGTTTACCAACAAAAGAATTTTAATGGTTCTAGCGTTCCGTGCAGATGATCAGATATCGGTTGACTCTGTACGGATCTTATTACTGAAAAATAATCTTGTTTTTTATATCATCTTTATTTGTTATAACGAGAATATTTTACCCTCTCAATACCAAGATGAATATTTTGAGCAAAATTTAACACATCTCTTTCGTTTTTCGATATTGTTATAGCATGTCTGACGAGCACATGGCTCTATAACTTAAAGTGCCTATCACCCTT